TTTCATTATTGCAGGAACTTTAGGGGTTAACTTAAAATATTTTAAACATTAAATACGAATATAAATATATTTATATTTAATATGTATATAACGCAATATTTTATAAACATCACATATGAATGTAAATGTATAAATATTATATAAAAATAATTCAACATTTTTATTGGCACTTTTCAGTATTGCAGAATTTTTAAGTATTAATTTAATATATTTTAAACATTATATATGAATATAAATATTATACTGTATATAAATACAATTCAATACTTTTATTGATACTTTTCAGTATTGCAAGATGTTTAAGTGTCAATTGAATATATATTAAAGATTATATATATATATATATATGAATATAAATATATAAATATTATATATAAATACATTTCGATACTTTTATTGATACTTTTACGTATAGTGGAAATTTTAAGTGTTAAATATATTTAAAAAATGATATATATATGAATATAAATATGTAGATATTATATATAAATACATTTCAATACTTTTATTGATACTTTTCAGTATTGCAGGAACTTTATGTGTTAATTTATTATATTTTAAACATTATATATGAATATAAATATATAAATATTATACTGTATATAAATACAATTCAATACTTTTATTGGTACTTTTCAGTATTGCAAGAGGTTTAAGTGTCAATTGAATATATTTTAAAGATGATATATTTGAATATAAATATATAAATATTATATATAAATACATTTCGATACTTGTATTGATACTTTTACGTATAGTGGACATTTTAAGTGTTAAATATATTTAAAAAATTATATATATATATGAATATAAATATATAGATATTATATATAAATACATTTCGATACTTTTATTGATACTTTTCATCATTGCGAGAATATTAAGTGTTAATTAAATATATATTTAAACATTACATATGAATATATAATACATCAATAAATGTCTGCAATTCTTTAGCTTGCTTCCTAACCCAGTCTAATAGACTTGCCGTTGAATATTATGACAAATAACTTTTGTTTAGGATGAAAGCGTCTGTTAAACGCATGAGTGTGAAGGTGCTCACCCCAGTGTGATACAGGCCTCGCGCACCACCTGCGAGCGCAGATCTTTAGCCGAGAGTTTGAACGACCCCTCGAGGAGCCGTAACTGCTGGGAGAAGCCGTCGTAGTCGCACGCGCCGGCCAACAGCAGAGAACGCACTTTCTTCAGCTGCAACCCAAACAACACATCACAATCTTTCTTTACAAAATATACTTGATTTTCATGCAAATAGAGGGCAGGAAGTGATTTGCTGTATTTAGAAAGCACTATAACAAACTCAGAATACTCAAACTAAAACCTACGTCTGCGGTCGGGAGGAGCCGAATGGGAAAATGCCCGTGTGTGCAGTGATCACTTCATCAAAGGTGAGTTAATACAACTTAAGTGGCTATGTTTGTGTAACGTGTAACGTTTCCGAACTTTGTAAAGTCAAAGTATGTCTGTAAGACAAGGTAGTTGCTGATATCTACCGCCTCGATGGCAGGAAAATCTTTAAATTCAGTTGAAAAATCGCTCCTCTTCATAACGTAAGGATCACGTCCAACATATGTTTGATTTTTTGTTTATATCTTTCTCTTGTAATAGCGTGTAAAGTAGTACAGTACGGACTTCCCTCCATCTCGTCCATTGCGCTCTTCACTCCCTGCCCTCCATCTGAATTTCGTGCGTCATCATAATCACGTGACTGCAACCCAGCTATTGTCACCCATAGATATCCATAATAAAGGCTAGATGTCTCGTCCGCGCTGCTGGCCAATGGAGGTCTTCCTCAGCACCTGGCGGCCATCTTGTCACAGGCAGCTCTCAACCATAACTTGCTAAATTTTCTACCGATTTTCAAACGGTTTGGTTTGTTATAGACATCAGAGATGTAGTTATGACACTGCACACTTATGAATAATAAGTGTATCAATAAATAATCATCCAGAATTATAGCCACGTTAATAACGTTTGTAAGAAACCAAACCGTTTGTAAATCCGTCAAGATTTCAACGAGATAAGAGTATTTGTGTTCGTGCTGATCACTCATCTTACATCAGGCACCACAGAGCCCGCCAGAAAGCTTGCCTGTGACAAGATGGCCGCCGGTGATGACGATAGAGACTCCGCCGTAAGACATCCAGCCTTTATTATGGATATCTATGATTGTCACACTCTCACATCACATGGACTCTTGTTTTTAATCAGTACCGTTCTTCTAAAAGCAATGTTACAATCGTGAGAATATTCAGCAAAATAGCTCCCGTCATGTTATGTTACTTAACTATATCATATGTTATAAATAAAAAACTCAACATTTTGAATTTTTACCTCAGTATGTTTCTTCTGTGAGTTTTTTATGTGTCCTGTTATGCTCATTTGTTTTGATTTCTCACTATAAAATCTCTCACAGAGTATCAACAGTGATACCAGAAATACATTATCATTATCAATCTCTGTTTATGTAATAAAATCAGAATCATTCTCGCGATTCGATGCTTCACTGGTTATTTGATGGACATTGGGTCCGTCAGACTGGAGAAATTTTAGCGGTAATGTGACCAGAAATATTTAAGACCCATCGAATCTGAATTTACGACATTTTAATACTTTTTTAAGGCCTATTATAAGGAAAACTTTAAGACTTTAAGGACCCTGCAGGAAGGTGTTGGCGGTGTGTAAATCGAGTTACCTCTCCCACTTCTGCTAGTTTTAGCAAAATTTAGCAAATTATCCATTAATATTACAGACGTCCTGTGGTAAAAATGACATTACTCCATCTACCCTTGTAAAACTAATCCAGTCCGAATAGGGCTTTAGTGTCATTATATGCAAATATCTGACCAAAGAATGATGCCATTGACCAATCACAGTCAAGTATTCCAGAGAGATGGTTAACAATCAGGGCCCGTATTCATAAAGATTCTAAGAATCCTCTCAGAAAACTCTTAATTTAGCTTAAAAACGTTTACGTAGGAGTCTTAGCTTAAGAGCGATTCGGGACCGATCTGAGAGCAACTCTATAAGTAAGAAAAAGACAAAAACTTTCATCTTAGTGAGGAGGCGGGGCTGACCCCGTTGCTATGTGTGACACAATCTTTTGAAGACTGTGATTGGTTGGTTGTCCAAGAAGGAAAAAAAGAGTGATTTTAAGTATAGGGTCTATTCTAAGCCTTCACTTTGAAATTACATGCGTGATTTTTCCTATTTGACCGTTCTCACACACACACACACACACTCACACACATTATATATGTGTATATAAATCCTTTTTTTTTATTTACCATGCTGTTAATTTCCTATAAGCTATTTGATTGGCTTAGAATGATAAAAATTGTTCCACTCTTTCCAGTTACACTGATTGGTGGCATGTCTATTTAAGTGGTGGTTTGAATGTTGGTTTTAATGTAACAAACATGGAATCAAAACCAAGAAGGACGAGAAAGCCCGACCGGACAGAGGAACAGTGTTTACTGTTAGCCCAGTTAGTGGATGAACACAAGGCCATCCTTAAAGGAACATTCGGGCCGGGTGTCGATCTATAGCGTCTTATTAACTCACTGTCATCCATTGTGTGCAACACACTTCTTCTCCCTCTTTGTCTTTCTGCCATTTCTCCTCTGCTAAAGAAACTCTTAAGCCTCTTAAAAGTCCTCGTCCGTACTCCTAACAATTTTGACCTTAAGAACTCTTTTAAGGGTTAAGATGCTTTCTGAATTACTTTTTTCTTTACTAGGATTTTTTAGGGCTGTCAGTTAAACGCGTTATTAACGCCGTTAACACAAACCCATTTTAACGGCGTACATTTTTTTATCGCGCGATTAACGGTCTTTTTGGCCTAGCAAACTTTGTAGTTTTTTTCACATGCTTTTGCAACAGGACGCGGCGATGCGCTATGAACCCATTCAATTCAATGGCTTGCGCCGCGCGAGGACGTTTTGTTGCTTCGTTGACCAAGGCCCGGTCCCAAATGGCACACTCCGGACTTGTGGACTTCCTCAGAGTCCACACTTCGGTGACGTCATGTAGTGCAGACCTATAGGGCCCTTAGCGCGAGTCCGCGAGGGCGCATTGAGAGGTATTTTTGGGACAGACTCGATCGTCACGCCGGAAACAGGAAGACGGTCTGATTGTTGTTATGGACAGGCGCTGCAGGTTCGGGGAAATATGCCGCCTATTGTTGTGGTGTTTACATATGACTCAGTAAAGCCCTGAAAGTCTGTTCTATTTATTTAATGAATCATAATGCGATCGTATTATTCAGCTCGCTATTATTAGCCTATGTTTGAGACATCAACCACTGGTCGATGATCATAATGTTTGTATAAACTTGTCATTAAAACCGTAATGATAGTTACACTTAAATATTTTCTTCTCAGCCATGTTAACAATTGTCCGTGAGCGAAATCTCCTCCCATCCGTTGTCTGATTGGCCTTTCGCAAGGATTCCTGGGTAGTTAAAGTGCGTGGAGCCTGCATCTATGCGGGCTTTGCGGAAGACCGCTTCAAGGGTACAAAGGGGGCGCTGCTGAGCACACTTCAGAGCGCTAAAATGCTAAATGGGACGGCCTACGGACTCGTAGACTCGGCGAGCACGCGCAATTTAAGTCCACGAGACCGAAAGTCCGCATGAAGTGCGCCATTTGGGACAGGGCCCAAAGCACAAGCGGATCTAGCTAGACCGGAAACAAAACAACAGGCACGCCGCACACACTTGTTTGGGCTTGCGAGCCGGCCAAATAGTAGGTTAACGTTACGTTTTGAGTGGATGACGAGCGCGAGACGCCGAAATGGATCCCAATAAGATTCTGAAAGGAAAGTTTACTTTTAAAAAGTTACCAAGTGGTTCCATTGACAAGACCAAAGTGATCTGTGTGTTTTGTCGTTGTGAACTGAGCTATCATCATTGCGATCGCAGCACGTCCAGTCTGAAATACCACTTGATGATGGCCAAGCACACACACACACACACACACAGCTGATGCGAATTCTCCGCCCCCTCGTCAATATCAGGACCTCGTCAGTATTTCTTTCACCCTTTTATTGATGGACAGTGTAACATTGTGTGAGAGATTATTTGCTCCAAGTGAGAATGTTAGTGTGAAATTGAACACTGTATTTGCCAATGTTGTTTTCAATAAAAAACATTTGCACAAAGCAAGCCGATCCACTTTTCCATGTTGATAAGAGCATTAAAATGAGAAAAAAATAATGGGACAAAAAGAAATCAAGAGACATTTAGAATAGATAAAAATGTGCGATTAATCGCGAGTTAACTATGACATTAATGCGATTAATCGCGAATAAATATTTTAATCGTTTGACAGCACTAGATTTTTTCTTTAATTTTAAGAGTAAACGCCCACATTTCTAAGAATTTTTTTAGAATTTTGTCACTAGGAGCGACTCTTTGCCTTAAGATTCTTAATGAATACGGGCCCAGGTGTTTTATTCCATAATAAATGTGAAATGACTCACTGCGGCCACTCTCTGTTCCCAATCATGTTTGTCATCGGAGAGAATTTCTCGGATCTTGTTCATGGAGTCCTCGAGCTCTCGAGCGGAGTAGATCTGTGAGTCAAACAACAGCGTCATCAAACTCACTGAAATCTGGCGTCTCTCCAGAGATCTCTAATGGAAAAGCCATTGAACCGAGAGGCACAGGACGTCCCAACAGACGCGCCACACAACAGATCAACGTGCCGGTCATGAGTCCTAGTAGTTTTGTTTAAAGAGAGCTACAAATGAGAGAGTTCTCTACTAATAATGAACAAACTAACATCAGTATCTACAGTAATATCAAGATTGCTTAAAAAGTTCAGAGACCTCTTTTGCATTTATACATTACTGTTCAAAACTTTTTACTCTTGTCCTCACTTAGGCAGGATTTATTTGATCAAAAATACAGTAAAAAAAAGTGAAATATTATTACCATTTAAAATTGATGTTTTCTGTGTGAATACATTGTCAAATGTAATTTATTCCTGTGATCAAAGCTGAATTTTCAGCATCATTACTCCAGTCTTCAGTGTCACATGATCCTTTAGAAATCACTCTAATATGAGGATTTGCTGCTCAAGAAATATTTATGATTATTATCAGTGTTGAAAACAGCTTGTGGAAACCATGATACATTTTTATTAGGATTCTTTGATGAATAGAAAGCATTTATTTAAAATAGAAATCTTTTGTAACATTATAAATGTTTTTACTGTCACTGAATGCAGAATAAAGTATTAATTTCTGACCCCAAACATTTGAATATTAAAGTTTGATTGACAGCTCAGTGTTTGTGACTCGCCTGTACGGTCGGCACATCTTCGAAGGCACGGATGAAGTCTTCTTCATCGACAGCTCCGGCACCAGAGCTCTCCTTCCCTGAGGAGACGAGAAGCAACAAGTACAGCGTTTTCATGCGGTATCCCAAAATGTGCATAAAAATAGGTGTTCCATCCAATTAAGATGTTTTATTACTTTTATTACAAAAGCACTGGAACACTGACCGGCCATTTAGAAGACCAAACCTATTCGTTTCATAAAACTAACATAAATTATTGTGCTTCGGGCGACCCGAGTTCGAGTCCCGGCTCTTGGACCTTTCCCGATCCCGTCCTCTCTCTCTCTCTCTCTCTCTCTCTCTCTCGCTACTGTCCAATCCATAGACTATAAAAAAAGATGGACGACGCCCCTTCGCTCTCTTCCATTGGTCAGAAGTGAAGCCGCCAGTGTCCCGATACGGCGCTGACATCTTGTACTTGAGTCTGCGCAGAAGCGATCTCGGGACGCAGTCGTGAGCCGGAAGGAAAGCCGTGAAATCAAGGCCCCGCCCTCACTCTCGCTGAATCAATCGCTAGCACACGCTCCGGCACTTTATTTTAAATTATAGAAATTTAGATATTAAATTTAAAGCTCCAATCTCCTCAGTCCTCCGAAGATCCTGAAAAAAAGTCTGTTGGTGCTTCAGTGACTACTTCGCTCAGAGAACCTGTCAATCACAGCTGTCAATCATGACGTCACCACCACAGCATCAAATAACTAACTAAAAACAAACTTATTTTAAAAGCAAACACTTGAAATTACATCAGCGTGATAAACTAACGTTAATGTCAGAAACCATCTTTGGAAAAACGATATTTGAAGTGTAATATAATTGTTTAATTGGTCTCACATGCTGTTGAACAACACGGGGAGGCGGGGCTTATGAGCTATACTGGGACCGGCCACCGGGGGGCGATCGAGACGCTTTGGCTTCACTTTTCAGGGCTTGTGCGGCACGCTTGGTCCTATCCAATAAAAAGGCAAAAACACCAATAATAACGAAATAACATAAACCCCTGAAACTCCTCTGACCTGAGCTCTTGGCGCTGGAAGCGGAGCTCGGCCTGCGCAGGGATCCCGTTCGACGCACCGATGACGCTCCTTTAGAGGACGACGAGGAACGCCCTCCATCCGCCGAATCTTCATCCTCGATGTTCTTATCTGAGGAACGACAGAGAAATCCCTCATTTAAAGCTAGGCTAGGCAACTCTCTGAAACTCTCCTCGCACGCTGATAGCAATCAATAACAGAAGTGGTCGAAATATTAAAAAGTGTACATGCAAGACGAGGCTGAAACACCTGCGATGAAGCACGATTATTCTTGCTGCACCACAAGATTTGATATATTCAGCTGAACATCCTGATATTGTGTGTGCGTGTGTGTGTGTGTGTGTGTGTAGCTCTGAAGGACAGCGCTCCTTTGCTCAGGAAAAACCCTGCGTGGACGGATGATTCCCATCCAGAGAGGGAACCAGCACCAAGATCTGCCAGACCAGCGATCAATAGCCATGAATTATTTAAGTGCACACACACACGCGTGCACGCATTCACACACAGACACACACACACACACACACACACACACACCTCAACCTTATTCATCATGCATTAATGTCAACACCTCTTTCCCACAATCCTTCACTGTGGATGGTCTAACACGCTCTAAACTACTCCAGAAACCTCCAGGGAAATAAACACAAACACACACACACACACACACACACACACACACATTTATCCAGCTATCTATACGAGGACATACCATAAACATATGTCTTATATAAATAAACAGACTAACCCAAACCCTTGACTGACCCCTAAAAGAGAAGTATGCAACCGTTCATACACTCGAAAACTACTACCAAAAGGATTTATCATCTAATTTCTGGGATCAATTTTGTCTGCAAAGTGCAAACTACAACCGCATAAACACACATTAGTTATTAAATTCTAATTCTAAAACCAAGAAAATGCATTTTCAGTCCTTTAAACCCTCAGAAACCCCCTCTGAGTTTGTATATTTTCACTCACGTTATTTAATGTTTTTATCAAGCAGTTTTCCTTGCAGAGACTATTGAGAGGTTCCATAACGCAGGTTGTGAAGGCAAAACCTCACACACTCACACACACGGTCTACATGCAGCATTTAATCACAGTTAGCAGATTTCACACACACACACACACACACACACACAGCGCAGAGAGACAGACAGATGTGAGCTGCTATCATTCCTCCTGACCTACAGATCTCCTGTCTGTCAGTCGGACGCTGTGTGTGTGTGTGTGTGTATGTGTGTGTGTGTCAGTCTGACGCTCATGCAGTGGACAGTGAGACACTTACAGGCACAGATCCTCCGGCACACCAGCTTCCTCAACATATCGTCACGCTTTCCCACGCTGCCTCATTCTGACACAGCCTCCACCGGCAGCTCGACCCCTCCCTGCCTCCGTGTGTGTGTGTGTGTGTGTGTGTGTGAACTGGAGGATGATGAGTTGAGCTATTACTGATGAAGCCCCGCCCACAGATCGCTGGGTGGAGGAGAGCAGGGGGAGGGGCCAAGCACACGGGCTGTGTTCACAATGAAACTCTAGCATACTGCATACTACAATAATACTGCTAACTACAATAATACTGCACACTTCAATAATACTGCATATTACAATAATGTGGAGGAGAGCAGGGGGAGGGGCCAAGCACACGGCTGTGTTCACAATGAAACTCTAGAGTACTGCATACTACAATACTGCATACTACAATACTGCTTACTACAATACTGCATACTACAATAATACTGCTTACTACAATACTGCATACTACAATAATACTGCTTACTACAATAATACTGCATACTATAATACTGCATACTATAATACTGCATACTACAACAATACTGCATACTACAATAATACTGCATACTACAATAATACTGCTTACTACAAGCATACTGCTTACTACAAGCATACTGCTTACTACAATAATCCTGCTTACTACAACAATACTGCATACTACAACAATACTGCATACTACAATAATACTGCTTACTACAATAATACTGCTTACTACAAGCATACTGCTTACTACAATAATACTGCATACTACATAGGGCTGGGTATCGATTCAGATGTTCAAATTCGATTCGATTTCGATTCACAAGCTCACAGTTCGATTCGATTTCGATTCTCGATTCGAATTTCGATTCCTGATTCGATTCTCGATTCGACTATAATGAATATAGATGTAATACAAATCTCAGTCTAAATATCAGTTTTCATTTTTTAGAAATTTTTTTATTAGATTGATCTCACCTAAATGTTTGTTTTTACAATGGGGTAATTTTTTTGTTAAGAGTTTATGCAACACATGGAAGCTTGATTTCAATCTTTGAATTAAATTGAAAAAAGTAGCACAAATAAATACAATAGAATAGGCCTAAAGACACAAATAAAGAGACATAAAAAGAAAAGTTTTTGGGTAGGTCAGAAATACTACAGAAACTGAATAAAGTAATCCAATGTAAAATAACACTGGATAGTCTTTTAGTCCTGACTGAATTAAATACAGGCTATTAATTCTGATTCCTTACAATTAATGCTATATTATGTTGTTTTGACAACAAAATTAATGTCAGACACATATGGCTGCGTTCACTTTAAGAGCTAGTGCACGGATCCATTACTGTTTCATTATACTGTCTGTCACACGCGTTTTATGCTTATTTAAGACATAACCGACTGTCTTTACGAGGTTACTCACCAAGACCAGAGTTTTGACATCATTTTACGTGTTTTTAACTGTTAAAGCGATATAGTCCACGAAAAAGAACTTTTGTTACTGGCGAGCTGTTTGTTGTGAGGCGGATTTAGGCTGCACGCAATGAAAAACACGCACGAGTGCGCGAGCACAGGATAGTTTAAAATTGCTTGAAAAAAGACGTGAAAATGATAAACGTTAGTTACGATGCAATGCTGGCCCGATTGTGCAAGTGAATCATGTCCCAACTCCTAAACACGAGTGTGTATCGACGCCTGCAGCGCTTGACGCTTGCCTTGTGCAGAGAGAGAAGACGCAACACGCGAGCCCTGAATATGGAAAAAATCGATTCGTGGCCGTTGAAAATCGATTTTGAATCGACCACATTTTAAAAAACGATTAATTGAAAAATCGATTTTTTTGCCCAGCCCTAATACTACAACAATACTACATACTACAATAATACTGCATACTACAACAATACTGCATACTACAATAATACTGCATACTACAACAATACTGCATACTACAATAATACTGCTTACTACAATAATACTGCATACTACAATAATACTGCTTACTACAATAATACTGCTTACTACAATAATACTGCTTACTACTAGCATATTGCATACTACAATAATACTGCATACTACAATAATATTGCATACTACAATAATACTGCATACTACAATAATACTGCATACTACAATAATACTGCATACTACAATAACACTGCTTACTACAACAATACTGCTTACTACAATAATACTGCTTACTGCAAGCATACTGCTTACTACAATAATACTGCATACTACAATAATACTGCATACTACAATAATACTGCATACTACAATAACACTGCTTACTACAATAATACTGCTTACGACAATAATACTGCATACTACAAGCATACTGCTTACTACAATAATACTGCATACTACAATAATAATGCATACTACAATAACACTGCATACTACAATAACACTGCTTACTACAATAATACTGCATACTACAATAATACTGCATACTACAATAATACTGCATACTACAATAATACTGCATACTACAATAATACTGCTTACTACAATAATACTGCATACTATAATAATACTGCATACTACAATAATACTGCTTACTACAATAATACTGCATACTACAATAATACTGCTTACTACAAGCATACTGCTTACTACAATAATACTGCATACTATAATAATACTGCATACTACAATAACACTGCTTACTACAATAATACTGCTTACTACAATAATACTGCTTACTACTAGGGGTGTGCCGGTTTCAGAATTGGTGATGACGGTTATGACGTGAGTCAAATGTGACGGTTCGTAACATAACCGTCGTCGGGGGGGTGGGTGGGTTTAATAACATTCGTCTGTTATAGGACAACTTAGTTTGAATAAACAAACTGACACTGATTAGCTACTGGCGTTTATTTAACATGAACAGCAAGACAACTAGAAGTGAATGTTCTTTCCATTAAATGTATCACACAGTAAACAAATCCTTAACAAACAAAACAAACAAACGTTGCAATTAACGTCCTTTGTTTTAAATAAATCACATACAGTAAACAAAACCTTAACGAAAAAACGTTGGAATGAACTTTGCAATTTAGACGCGCAAACTGCGTGGCAGTGCGGTGAGACGTGCATGCTCGGGCAGATTCGGCTTGAAGTCGGTCATCCTCGGACACGGCGCCGCGCGCGCTGTTACAAAAAAAGCCGTGCACACAGCCAAGCCAAATGGGGTCTTGCCGGTCTTGCGCACCGAACGCGTCATTTTTGCCGCGCGCACCTTCGCGATCGTGCGGACGCGTCGAGTATTTACTCCGTGTCAGCGCGCGCTCTGATCGGTAAAGGGGCACAGACCTCTCCCGAATCATCTCCAGCAGTAACAGCCTCCGTTTCCCTCTTAAGCTGATATTAGTATTTAAACATTCTCTATGAAAAAAAATGTTTGTAAAAATATTTTAATAGCACGGTTTTGGCGGTTATAGAGTTCTAATGACGGTGTTCAACTATAACCGTCGGTCTCACGCAGGGCCGTAGCTAGAGGATTCGGGGCCCCCTGAAAAAATATTGATGTGGGCCCCCACCACCCTCCACCAATATCTACTGTACAATAGCTGAGCATGGAGGCCCACATATAACAGAAGATGGTGATGTTGTTGTAAAACCTTTATTTTAAAAGTTAAATGTTTATATAAAAAGTACAACTAATAAAAACTAACAAAAAGCAAGAAATTGTTAAATAATAATAAAACCAATTAAAAAAAAATCAGTCTGTTATAATTCATAAATCAAAAAGTAAACATTTAAAATTGACAAGAAAACGGTCTAATTAAAAAAAGAAAACCATTTAAAACCACTTATTGTCTTATTTTTTA